CCCCCAACGCCGACCCGACCCTCTCCTCTTGGGATAACGGAGGGGGACCGGTGGGGGGAGGCAGGGGGTGCTTTCCAGAAAGTACGACTGTTTTCCTCAGATTTGTTCGACAAATTACGGGAGCTCGGCGCCTGCGAGACTCGGAGTAGGCCACCCCGCAGTACAAGCATGCACTGTAGCTAAGATGTTGCCTACCTACCAGGCGCTATAAGAGCCAGCTGGCTGATGACTAAGCCAGGCCGTTTCGTAACGACGGACGTAATTTCTGGATAATCCCCTAGGAGAGCATGAGAGCCCACCATTTTCCGATTTGATGCATTCTTGTCGAAAGATCCTACGGAGGGTTAGGGATTTCTGGCAGTTACGGATCGAAATTTTGATCCAATTAGGGATCATTCAGAAAGTACGTCCTCCTATACGCCGTTACGATACCGCCCAGTTCATCCAATGGCAGCTCCCATAGCGCCTGATCGGTAGGCAATATCTTGCCTGAAGTGCACGCGTGTGCGGCGGGGTGGCCTACCCTGAATCTCGCAGGCGCCGAGCTTCTGAAAATTGACGAACGAATCTGAGTAAAGCCGACGTACTCTCTGGACGATCCCTGAGGCACTACTGTGATAGAGTACCCTTCGGAAGCAATACCTAGGCTAAAATAACCATGGGGAAGGCCATGGTAAAATATCAATTATGGTGTGGTAGTCGTAGTCCATGGTCTCTCATGGTTTAATGTTGATAAACCATAGTATTCTGGTGATGGTAATCCACGGTAACCATGAAACAACATGGTTAAAGGTTGGGAAAACCATGGTTGGGAAACAGGAAACCATAATCCATCTTCAAGATACCATGATAGCTGGCTAGTGAACAAGATAACCTCACCTTCCCTTATAGCTTGTTTTCAGAGATCTTGTAACGCGCTTTATTTAAACCTCCCCTGTCTGGAGAAGATGACCCCTGCCGCCCGGACGACGGCGAGCTCGACAACAGTCGGCGGCAGATGTGTGGGGTCACGGCTCGGCGAGGGGCGAGGGCAACGCCTCGACTCCTTTCGCAAAAGCCGCCCCGCCCCTACCCCCACCCCTCTTGCAAGCTATTCTGATCGCCGGTGGCCATATTGCTGCCCATCTCCTTAAGTGGTCAGGGCTGGAGCTGGTCAGGACTGCTTTGTGCGAAGCGTCGAGGGTCGGCATAGAGGATTATTAAATTCAGCCTTACGGAGCCAAATTGAGCCAAATTAAAATGTGCACGTTTTTTTGATCCGCTTGCAAGACTCGCCGAAAGAAACGTGTTCTTCGCGCAAGAAATGTGACTGAAACGTGCAAGGAGATTTTTCTTATCACAACGCTTTTTTACTTGCTATACGCTCAATTTGGGATTGTTCGAGGCGCATGTTCCAGTGCCAATACGAATTGGCTTACCTCGGTGTGAGCTGATGTATGCTTCAGCTTTACACCAGAGAAGTGCAAAATAATTTGGCTGCATCCAGTCTAACCCTCTATGGTGAAGCGTGTGGTGCCCGGCGGGGATGTGCGGTGCGGGCGCGGAGGTCCTGGAGGGAAGCTGCGCCGCGAGGCGATCTCCACCGCCCGCCTCGGCCCGCGCACTCACTCCCGCCGCGATGACACAGATTCCTTGTCCTTGTCGGCCGCCGCGCGCTATCACTGGCGGGGCGCGCCGCGCTGGCGTCACACTCCTGGCAGCGGCATGGCCACACCGCGCGAGGCAGGGCGTGGGTCAATACTCTTGTTTTCTCTCCCCGCGGAGATACACGACGCCCCGCGGGAGGGTGTGCGCGGGGAGGGGCAGCGGCCCAATTTGCGAGTGTGAGTACCTGCAAGTACCCCTCGCCCCCCTCTCCCCCGCACCACAGCGGCCCGATCAAGTCCCCTGCACCCGGCCCGCCTTATCAACCACGGCCGAGTTGCCGCGCCTCTCACTAATTGGTTTGTCGCCGCCCTTGTCCCTGCAACTGGGCCACCCGACGTCACGCCGGCAGCGCGGCGGCGGCGCCGGTAGCACTGGTAGCGCCCGTGGGTGCGCCCGCGGCGGCCTTGGTCCAGGCCTTCGGCGAGGCCTTCAGCGTGGCCTTGGAAGTGTTGTTGTCTGGAGCACACCCCCCGTGTGGCTGAGTCCGCCGAGGCAAAGCCGAAGAGGTGCCCAGCTCCGACCCGCCGCCCGCCATACAGCGTACCGCAGCGTACACACAGTCCACAAAACCGTGCAATCATTTTGTCCTGTGGCCATCTGCCACCAACTTGCTGACGGGTGCAAAAAAAATAAAAAAATAAATACAACAACAACTTCAAAAACATCTAGACTTCTTTCTTTGGAAATAAAGTATGCATTCGAGCTAGCACTACTGCAATGGCAATGGGGACTTCGGATAACGACACATTAGTCCGTCGTCCGTCCGTGCCTTCGCATTGAGGTCTCCCCGAGCGGCTCCCGCCGTGTAGACACACTCGCCAACGCCGCTACGCTACGTGTCAAACGCCATCTCCGTGTTGACGAGTGTCCGCGGGGCGGGCCGCGGTCCGCCCGGGCTCTAATTGAATCGAACAAACATAAGTACTTTGCCACCTGGGTGGCTGTTGTCCGGCCGTCATGTGTCACCCCCGGGCCGTGACATTAACTCTCAGCTGCAGACGGACCCGGCCGCCGCCACGACTGCGCGCTTCCGGCTGCTGGCGTTCCCGCCAAAGCGCCACTCTCCGCCACGCGCCGTTTTGCTCCGCCTCGCCCGCGCAGAAATAGGGAAGTGAAGCCGAACGTTGAAATGCAAACCAGCGGCGGCCGGCCGTCGTGCTGGCCAAAGCCCCTCTCGGCAGCAATTTTATGTTTTTGGCCTGAGTCTGAGACCATTGTCTGGCGCGGGGCGGACCCCGGGTGGCGGGGGGCGGGCGGGGCGCGTCTGCCGGCGCGGCTCGCGTGAGAGTTGACAATGTTTGAAGCTCGTACACCGTATCCTGTCACAAACCCGCGCCGGGCCTGCGGGCCTCGCCCTTGGCTCTGGCAGGTTGGTGGCGTCCTCTCTCTCCGTCGCACGCCACGCGCGCCCGGCCACGGGAGGGCCGCGGGCCGCGCCTCTCCCCGCGCGCTCGCTCTCCCGGCCCTGCCGATGCGGACGCGCTCCCGCGAGAGGTGGGCGAGGCGCAGCCCCGGCACGGCATGGCATAGCCACGTGGATTTTATTTTTGCCCGCCGGAAGGTAATCCAGGCTTACTGTTAGGCGCGGCCCATTATGAATTTCGTTGATCTCATGAACCGGTAAACGTGTGGGAGTTCCCTTTTCGTGACAAATGGACGCTGTGTAGTAGATCATTCAGAAAGGTCGTCTAATCATTCGTAGCTACGAACAGGTCTGTTGAGGCCAAGCACAGCCCTTTCAAGCTCTCGTAGCGCCTGGTAGGTAGGCAACGTCTCGCCTGCAGTGCGTGCGTGTACGGCGGGGTGGCCTACCCTGAATTTCGCAGGCGCTGGGCTCCTGCAATGAGTTTTCCGAATAAATCTGAGAAATACCGTAAGTGTTATTCCTCCAAAGTTTTTGATCGAAGGGCCGTTATTGTCATGTTTTTCCTTCGTGGGGAGGGCGGGGTGACTGACGGCGGTCCTGCCGGTGCTGCGCTGCGTGGCCTCTCGGCGGCGTGCCCGTTCGGCGACGTCGTGGAAAAGTCCTGCGTGGCGTGACAAGGCGCGCGTCAGCCGAAGCGTCGCGCCAAGCGTCCTTCACTTCCGAAAAAGGGGCTGGCCCAAAGGGGCGGCTGGCTGCGGGCTGAACTTTCCACAATCCCTTGTGTGCATGCCCGAAAGGGCCGTACACAAAATGCGGAACCTTATATATATTTATGATTGATTGATGAAATAGTTTATTGGTCAACCAGGCACCGAAGTCCAAAAACATAAAAATAAAGAGAAGAAAAGAAGAGCATTTTTTGAGGCAGATCCCGTTGAGGTACCTGTGTTTGTATTCCCGCCGACAAAGCCAGTCGTAAACACGTGTGTGTGTAGATTATAAGGCAAGCAGGAGAAAGCATTTGGCATTGCGCCGAGGGATTTATGCTCAAAATCTGGAGTTGTTGACATGAAAAATGGTTTTATTGCATTAGACTTTTTTCGTTCAAAAATCTTTCAGGTTGCAATAATCCACCACTGATTCTGAACGAAAGGGTCTGAGATGTAATGAAACACGCTGAGTGCGTCGTGACCCACAACGTGGGTCCCAATATCATATAGGGTAAGGGTTGCCTACCCCCGCCACCCCTGAGCCGACCTGAGCGATTGCGAGTTTTGGTGTTTTGGTCCCGCGCCTCACGTTGTGGCCGTCAGAGTGAGCCCGCGGGCTGCGCTGACCTGCCGATAGAGCGGACAGTTTAATGGTCCGAGTCCGAGTTCGACTGCGCCGCGCCGGGACGGGTAAGGACGGGTTACACTGTGTCATTGGGTTGCCTGGCACCTTTGGGCAGTTGGCTACCTGTCGCTCGCTGTCAGCAGACATATGTCGGCTTCGCCAGGGGCAACGACCCGCACGGATTTTGTTTGTTCGTTTGTTGTGCTTTTTTTTTCGGTCCATGCGGAAAATGTGATAGGAGTGAGCGATCTAGGAGAGGTTGGAGGGAGAGCGAATGGGACAGGAAAGGGAACGTCGTCGTCTGGCCGAGGGGGAGGGGGCTGGCGGGCTGGCCCTCGGGCTCCCCGCCGCCTGCCGATACTCAAATGGAGAAGAGGAGCTGCGGAGGGAGAATTATTCACCTTTTATTATTTTTTTTCCTGACTGATAATCCAAAAATCCGCCAGTCGCGGACACACGTCTCTGTGTGCCGCGTGGCGAGATTGTAGCGGGCAAGGGCCGGGCCTTTCGAGGCGCCCTATAAAACAATTAAGATTAGCCGTTGCGGGGACGGTATCCCCTCCCCCCTGCCTCCATCCCCACCTGCGTCAGCTGCATATCACACAGTGGGGCGGGG